AAATCAGGAAACATATTTGTTTTAAAACAGCTCAGCAAACTGATAAGGCACTGTCTGCCTTGATCCAGGTCCTGTCACCTCCCACTGGGGCAGTTTTTGGATGTTTGGTGTTCGTGCCCATCTGGCTGCTGATCTCTGGGTTGTATTTGGTCAGATTTGAGCACCCAAGGTGATGTTTTTGTGAAGTTTCCTCCTCCACCTCGCTGATTGCTTCCCTCCCTCAGTGTTGTGCAGGAATCTGCTGGCATTTCTGATGAGTTGTTTATTTTTATTTCTTTTTTTTTCACACTGAAGGCCAGGAGGAGGGGAGGAGGCTCAGCTGGACAGAGGTAGAGCTCAGCTCAGCTCTGCTCTGCTCTGCTCTGGAGGATTCCCCCAGGATGAATTCCTCCTTCCTGCCTGCCCTGCTGCTGCTGTGGAAAGTTTTAGGCTGAACAATTTCATCCCACAGGGATCCCCACTCTCTTAAAAAAATGAGCTGAAGATGCTGCAGTTCCTGACATTGTGTTTTCCCCAGATATCAGGATGGTAAAGTTACTCTCCTTTGCACYTGGTCTTGAACCTCATCAGCTTTTCCCAGAGCCATCTCTGCACCTGCCCAGATCCCTCTGCATGGGATCCCTTCCCACATCCCATTCCTTGGTGTCACTTCCAGCCTTGACAAAAAAAATAATTTTTGTCCCTGTTGCCCTCAAAAATATTCAACAGCACCACTCCCAGCTCATACAGCTCTGAATTTTATTTTACTTGACTATTTCAATATTTTCACTCTTCGCCATCAAATTCTTTAAAGAGAAAAAAAACAAATTGAAGAGGATTTTGGTACCTGCTGCTGTTTATTGTTGTTAAACAAGTGACACTTTGAGATGAGCACCTCTCCTTTGTTTATGTTTATTTACGGATGGGTTCCCATGGTTTGCTTGATTTGTGTTTATAAATATTTCTTTGGCACACAACATTATTTTCATTCAAAGTGTTTCATCCTTTTCCTACCCCCAGTTAACTCCTGGAAGTGAGGCATCTTTGAAAACATTGATTTTTTTTTTTAATTATTTTTATTGCTGTACAGCTCAATTTAAACACTTCTGTGCCACGAGATGGTGAGGATTGGAAAACTTGTGCAATCCTAAAGGAGCAGTGCTGGGATAGGCACTGCTGCCTCCTGCCCTTCTCCTCCACCCAATTTTCCTCCTTAGGATATACCAGTGATAATTTTATATTTAAACCCCTCCTCTAGACTGATTACCTTGCCTGTACAACAAACAGGGGAAATATTTGTGAGGAAATGCCATCATTTTAAGCTTTCTAGGGGCAAGATGGCAGTTGACATTATTGACAAAAATGTCAAACTACTTTGACGTCTTTAAAATTCACATTTGGGGTTTTTTTCATTTTGCCAACTGC